ATGGATATTTTGTCCTAGATTCATTATTTGAACTGGTATTCATAACTAAGTGAAAGCATACGAGTAGATAATTTTAAGTGAATCGTAGTGGGTGAATGACTGAACAAGTGCCGACATAAGATTCAATGACTGATCAGAAACAACCATTTTAGGTGCTCTGACACCACATTTCAACCATCGTTTTAGCCAGATGCATATACTTAAGGTATCGTGTTTTTCAGATATCATCGATACAACCGTGAAAGATCTCCCATCAATTTCCATTACACCTTCATATAAAAATAAGTGGCTACTCTGATTACTTTCTGGTGTTTTGATTTTTCTACAGCATCCACCAGTAGCATCAAATGATATACATGGGATACCTATTTTCGAATACGATTCTTTGTAAATTTGTATTTGYTTGTTACTCCATAAATGAACAAAAAACTTGTCATAACCAATATCATGAATTKTTGAACTATAATTTTTACTGTATTTCATCATATGTATAGAAACTATGGAGTCAGAATGGAACCTGGTTGCGAAAATTGCTTTAATTTTTGCAGTTCTAAGACTTGTTAAACTTGGAATTTGTGCAGAGATATTATCGCCTGCAATTTATACATTTAAATATTTTAAAAAAAGCGGGTAAGAGGATGTCGCTCTGCTGTACATTAGGTGCTGGGGTTGACCTCTGGCTAGGGTAGGTTAGATTTGAATGCAATGATAGGTATCATTGTATACGAAAAACGATTCTGAACGGAGATGATTTATCAATCTAGGATATATTATATTTAAATATTGTCATATATTCTATTTTGAAACTAATATTTTATTTTTCAATGTAATTTTGAGTTGCGTTTTGCCTGCCAAACTAACAACACGTACGTTCCCCTCGTTTGTGTCGAATTGTGCGAAGTGTTTATTTAATTAAATTAAATATATCTATACGATGTTTTTGCTTACAACGCAAAAGTCAAGTGTCCTAACACAAATTATTTAAGTCATCGCGCATGGCGATGGCGGCTTAGACCGCCCCCCAGCAATGGGCTCTATGGACAATGCTCACACGGCGCCAGCTTAAATTTTAGTTGATCAAGCAATTCTGGTTCGCATACAAACTGAAAATGAAACATTACATAAACTTGTAATCGAATTAAGCGAGTAATGCACAATTTCAGAGTCAATTACTGGACCTTCAAGTGAGTAATATTAATTTTAATAATACTTCTATAAATGAAAACTTAATCAATACAAATGTACATGAAAAAACGAGTCACAGCTCAGAAGCTAGTTCAAACCTACGTAATAAATGCATCAACGAAATAGATCAGGGGTCTCCAACCTACGGGCCGCCAAGCTTTTTGCACCGGCCCGCCAACGTAATTAATGTTTTGAAAATAATATATTATTTTTCATTGTTTTTAATTTATTTTTTATTGAATTGATTAATAAAATAAAATGAATTTATAAMATTTTCWTTTGGTGGGTATTATTCATAACAACTTATAATAGTTATACATATACACTAATACTAACTAATAATAGATAAACTCGTCAATCACACATATTTTTTTTTTAGACAACACATTTCTAAAAATGTTGGCCCGYGATGCCAAAGCGTATATCATATTTGGTCGGCCGTAAAAAAAGGTTGGAGACCCCTGAAATAGATAATAATATCATCAAAATAGTGCCTAAAACATATAAAYCACCACCAATAACAGCATGTGGTGTAAATGACATACAAAACTTAGTTACCAATTTAACTCGTGAAGAAGCCCCAGGGCATTAACAGCAACTGAAAACTTTCGCTAACGGTGACATAAAAATCCTGACAGAGGATGAACACCAGTTTAAACGAACATTAAAAGTTCTTGAAAAAAACAACATYGAGTTTCATAGATATCAATTAAAAGCCGAAAAAAATTCCGTGTTGTAATAMGCGGATTGCACCCAGAAACTGAAATATGTGAAATTAAAAGAGAACTAGCTGACAAAGGTTTTTCTGCATGTGATGTTTCAAACATTCAAATCATAAAAAAGCTAAACCCAAATGACAAAAWCAGCGAAAAGAAACGAATAAGATWACCTCTATTTTTTGTGGACTTGGTTCCACAAGATAATAACAAAGATATTTACAAGTTAGATASTCTATGTTATCATAAAATTAAAATAGAACCACCAAGAAAGAAAAAAGATTTACCACAGTGTAAAAACTGTCAGTCTTTTGGACATACACAAAATTACTGCCACAAATAATCCATGTGTGTAAAATGCGGCGAAGAGCATAAAACAGAAGACTGCAATAAGCCGAAAAAATCAAAAGCTAAATGTGCCAATTGCGGTGAAGCACATACCGCAAACTGGAAGGGTTGTTCTGCCTACAAACAAGCAAAAGAAAAAGCATACCCAAGAAAGGCTTCTGCAGTAAAACGCATTCAACGAAAACCAGCGAAAACTGTCACAACAGCTATATCTTATGCACAGATGACTAGCTCTCCCAGTATTAATTTAACGCCCCAGACGTCGAAACAACAACAACAGACTAATGTAAACGACCCAACGTTAATAGATGTATTATCTGCTTTAAATAATATAGCAAAATCGTTAGAAATCGTCACATCTAGACTAGATGGATTAGAAAATAATCAATCTAAGTCTAACAACAAAAATAAAAATAAAAATAAATGAATCGCACACAGCGAATCATAGCTTGGAACGCCAACGGGCTAGTACAACGCAAACAAGAACTTGATGATTTCTTGAACAATGAAAACATTGATATAGCTCTTATATCAAAAATACATTTTACAGCCTGGACTGTCTTAAAAATTAGAAATTATAGACTATAATTTATAGTATCTATACCACTTTCCATCCTAGTGGTAAAGCTCGAGGAGGTGCGGCGATAATCATAAAAGAATCTATTAAATATTTTGAGCTTGAGAAACACTCAGAACTATACTTACAAAGCCACAACCGTAAGCATCAATGATGGCAACAATGACCTCACAGCTATTTATTGCCCACCACAGGGAGGCGCAGACGGGCGGCGCTGTTGACGTAATTAGGCGGCGCTGTTGACGTAATGCGCAAGCAGTTCCGGCAGCGTCGTCGATAATAAGAAAAAAAAAACAAAGGGAGGCGCAGACAAAATTAAGTTTATTGATTTTTTTTTCAAAAGCTAGGACACAGATTCACTGTCGGCGGAGACTACAACGCAAAACACACCTACTGGGGATCAAGACTTATCACTCAGAAAGGACGTGCTCTATTTAAAGCAGTCAATACTATCAACGCTGAAGTAATTTCTACGAGTAAACCAACTTACTGGCCAACTGATCCGAATAAAATCCCTGATTTATTAGACTTTTTCGTAGTTAAAAATATTTCCTCTAACTATGTTGAAGCTGAAGGACTAATAGAACTATCTTCTGATCATATTCCCGTGTTACTTTCACTAAGCTCAAAT